AGTATGTAATGTTTTCTCATGTGTAAGAAGATAAGATATGTGACGTTTCCATGCTCGGAAATTATTTCCATTTAGCATCTCAATTCTCGAAGAATCCATTGTATTTTTAATAGCCATATTAAAAATAAAATGTGATACTGTGAAAATTCAAATGTGAATATGAAAATTCAAATGTGAATATTACAATACTAAACTAAAAATAAAAATAAGCAAAATTAAAAACAACAAAAATAAGAAAAAGCCTTGTAGTTGTTGAATCAGCTCCTGTAATGAAAATGATGTGAAGGAAGAGAACGATACTGATGCCTTGGGTAAGTAGAATGATGAAAACCCAAAGGCCTAGTAAACCCAATACTTTGCTTATAAGTATTGTAATAATAATTACAAGCCCAAGGAACACAATGGTGCCTTTTAAACAATGTTCCTTTGAATGTTTTCCTTGGTAACACCCTTTGATAGCCTCCTCCTTGAATTTTGTTTTCAGAAAATTTAGTACAACAATCCACAGAAAAATTCTTAGAAGAATTCTGAAAATTTTGACTTTTGAATGACTGTAAACGGCCTTGAAATGAGCGAGAACGAGCCAAAAAATCAAGTGGACCAGGCTGCTGCCGGTCCGGGTACTGTGCTGGACCGGTTTGGACCGGCTGGCTGAGACCGAACCGGCGTGAACCGCTGGTCAACGCGTGGGTCAACGCGCGGGTCAGGCGAGGCAGACCGACGCGGGTCCGGGCGTGGGGCGCTGGACGCTGGGTCGACGCGCGGATCTGGACGCGGACCTAGGCTGGCATGCGGGTTGGCTCGCTGGGCTGGCTGGGTTGGCACACTGGGCTGGTCCGTGTGTTTTGCAGGCTATGTCTCTGGATTGGGCTCCGCCTGTCTGTGGGCTGCGCCTGAGTAAATGGGCTGATCAAAATTCTTTTTAATTTTCAAGCCCAAAGGAATTGATTTCCTTGCTGTGGTCCTAATTTTTGGGCCTTTTCTTTTAATTTTTGAATTCAGCCCAACCCTATTGAATTGCAAAACAGAGTCTTCTTCTTCTTTTTCTAGGCACTGTAGATCGTCTTCTCCAGTGGGGGTAGGAGTCCAAACACTGTAAGTTGAATTTTGTGGATCAATTTTTTTCCATTTTTCACAACGAATTACACCGTTGTGATCAAAATTCTGTGAAGAACAAGAGAGAGCAAATTTGGAGACCCAATTGGAACCGAAAAATATTTTGTAAAATTTCTTCCAACGGTGCAATTCGGCTTCACTTTCGGCAAGGTTCGAAACAACAGCGCCACCAACAGTTATTTTCTTCGGATAGTATTCTGGGAATACGACACGTTGGTGATAATTATATAAACAAACAGAATTCACCAATGCCGAAGATTGTTGATCAATTATTTTCTGAATTTTCGGCAAAAAGATTTTGGAAACTTGTCTTTCTTCCGGACTAAAATTCGACATCTGCGATAATGGGTAACTTGGCTCTGATACCACTGAAAGATGTTCTATCAATGGCAATCGATCGAAATACCCGTGAGGGTGTTTATCACGCAAGAATGTTGAATATCCGGAAGATAGAAAAATAGTTAACTTTGTAGTTCTTTTCTATGTATTATTCACAACCTGTTGTCACTATTTATATATCAATAGGAGACTCTTGGCAATAGGTATAATCTAATAACAGTTGCCATGTTTCACAGAGTTGTGTCTGTTGATAATTTGAATTCAAATTATCAACCAACTAACGGATAGTTCAATATTCTTACGGGAAGGCTTATAATACTGCTAGAGAGAGAAAATTCAGTGAAGTGAGTCACACCAATTTATGGTGTGGTCAATCTTTATTCCATCACAAACCACAAACCAATAGGCAGAAATTCACTTTTCCCACTTTTCATTATTTTTATTGAAAATGTTATAAGTGTTAAATTTTTTATTAAATAAATAATTAAATTACTTATATTTTTCACATTAGGTAAGACATTTAATTATTTATTTAATAAAAAAATTAACATTCTTAACATTATCTTACTTTTATTTATTATATTTTCCCTTCTTCTCTCCCCCTTGGGCTTGTTCCCCATGTTGTGAGTCGAAATTTTTTGTTTTTGTCTTTTCTTGTTTTGTCCTTTTTCTTCTTTTTCCAGTCCACTTCTCCATCTAGACATTTTTATTTTACTCTCATCTTTTTCCCAAATTTTTGGACAACTTGTTTTAATTTTTCATTACTTATTTAAAATTTTTGTTTTTCATCAACCCAAAAAAAAAAAAAAAAACTTAATTAATTAATTAATTTGTTTTTTCTATACTTTAATCAAATGAATTGTCTCAATCTTCAGCCACTCTTATAAAAAAATAAAAAAATAAAATCTTTTCTACAATATATGTATATATATATATATCAATTTTTTTTTAAGAACATCTCTCCTTTTTTATTTTACTTTATCTTCCCTTCTGTTTCTATTTCAAATAAGTTTCTATCTTTAAATCTATTTAGGTTTGAGGGAAATATTATACTTATATCATGATGGTGAGCATAGTAATATATCATGTGAACCACCCAAGCCACCCCTTAGTGCACTACCCAAGCCACCACTGGTGCATTTTGTCATAAGTCATCCCAAGCGCATTTTCTATATCATGGTGAGCATGGTTAATCATGTGATTTAATTTTGATGATATCTAAAATATTATTTGATAAATTATGATATTTTAATATACATATTTTATAATCATTTGACACAAAACATGAAAATAGATATCAATTGCACCATATATTTTTACTGTACAAGTTACCGTGCATGTTTGAATTTCGTGAAAGTTACTATGCTTAAATAGTAAATTTTACTATTCACGATTTGATAAAATCAATTTGTTACTACTGATTTTTGACAATTTTGATACATCCACTTAGTGATGGGTTATTTTTATTAGAGTTTATCCAAAATCTTTACAACAACTACAAAAATTATAAAAAATGTATATATTTTCATATCTGTTATAAATGTTATTTAAAGAGATTTTACTATGCATTCAAATATTTTAATAGAGAAATCACTGTATATTCAAATATTTTAATAGGAAAGTTACTATGTAAGTCATTGTGCACTCTTTGATTTTACGAGAAATGTTTTGAAATATCAACTATTACTATTCATCGAAAGCGACCTTGACCTATTATATGAAAGGTTGAAATAATAGGTCACGGTCGCTTTCGATGAACAGTAATAGCTGATTTTTCAAAACATTTCTCAATAAATCAAAGAGTGCACAGTGACTTGTATAGTAATTTTTCTATTAAAATATTTGAATATACAGTGACTTTTCTATTAAAATATTTGAATGTACAGTAAAATCTCTTTAAATAACATTTATATCATATTTGAAATATATACCATTTTTATAATCTTTGTAACTGTTGTAGAGATTTTGGATACACTCTAATGAAGATAACCCACCATTACGTAGATGTATCAAATTTGTCAAATAATGAATAGTAACAAACTGATTTTATCAAAATATGAATAGTAAAATTTACTATTTAAGCATAGTAACTTCCACGAAATTCAAACATGCACAGTGACCTACACAGTAAAAATATATGATGCAATCGAAATTTATTTTCATATTGTGTGAAATGATTGTAAAATATGTACATTAAAAAATCACAATTTATCAAATAATATTTTAGATATTATCAAAATTAAACCACATGATTAACAATCTCCCCGTGGGAGTAGAGTGAGAGAGTCTCCTCTTCCGTTGTGTAAATCTCTTTGTATTTCATCTCCATTAATATAGTGTAAATGACTTTTCTCTTGTGAACGTAGATATTGGATTGAACCACATTACATATTGTGTCTCTATCAGTGGTATCAAAGCCAATTTGGACCAATTTTTCGAAAAATTGAGAAGAATTGAACACGATTTCAAATTTGTCCAAATTTCGAAAGTGTCGAGATCAAGATCTGAATATATCTGAAGGTGTACAAGTCAAGCCACAACAAGAAGCCATCGAAAGCCACCTTCTTGAGCCTCCTCCTACTCACATATCTTGACTTCATCTTTTTCCTCTCTTTTGTCTAATCTCTCTGTAATGTATATATCTATATATAATTGTGTTACCACCATTGTTGTATCATGTAATCAAGTAATCTAGGCATCAATACAATCTTCTCCCTAATCTTCTCCCTTTATACATTTGTGTAACAGTCCTAAAACACTCATAATAAGTCATATGAAAATCTTGAGAATCTCACAGGATTCAATTTTTAGAGACAAAGGGATCTTAGGCTAAGCAAGCCAAAGATTTTCTGCCAAAGTATAATATTAAAGTTCATCAAATTCTTATTATTGACTCTTAAAATTTCTTTTTCTATCAAGTTTGATCTAAAATCATGGGTCATAGTTTAGAAGCCGACATCATTTTCATCTAATCATTAGTATAGTATATCTCACCAACCGATAAGTGAGTTGATTCAACTGAAAATATTTGATAATCTGTTGGCATAAACCATAACATACGTATTGTTATCTACAACAATAATTGACTTGTACTCTTCTCTTCTCTTCTCTTCGGCTAATATAGGAAACTGGTTTGAGCCAAAAATATAAATAATCTTCTGAAATTGTATAAGATTACTTTTTTTTAATGATTTTTTAGTTTATTTTTTCATTTTTCGTGAAGGCTTTTTTAAAAAATAAAAATAAAAATAAAAATTTCAAAAGCTTTGAACTTTTAGACTTTACTCAACTAGATGAAACCAAAAAAAAAGCAAAAAAAAAAAAAAAATCCAAAACAGTGTACTTTTTTGAATTTCTTTTGACTTTCGTAAATTTTTTTAAATATTTTTACTTGTTACATTCTTTTCTATTAGACTGAAAAACTAAAAAAATTGGCACATTTAAAAAAAAAAAAAAAATTATAACCTTTTTAGCTGGATGCCAAGTGGGGTTGCAACAACATTTTCTGCAACCAAGAAAATGATTAGTAACAGCAAACAAGAGACTATAAAAGGAAAGTTCCAACCTCCACTTCCAATAATCTAATTCACTGCACTGTCAATACATAATAACAGCCCTCTGTAACTTGCATATGTGGCTATGCCTTGTTTGGATCAACTTCTTTACTCGCTTTTTAAATAAGCTTTTAGCCTTTCTATGAAAGTTTATTCAATTGACATTTCAATCTTTTACTCTTTTTGTGGACTTTCAGTGTGGCTTTTTGGCTATTTAATCAGAAGCCCGACACAAAAAACTAGTAAAAAACCAAAAGCCAATAAAAAAAGTAGATCCAAACTCCTGCTGGCATAGATTACAACAACCCCTCATCTAATCTCTAAACAATCAAGTCTAAGAGGGCACTGTAATTTTCAAAAAGTAGTTATGTCAGTTATACTTCATATTCGGCGATAGACTTCGAAGGCGTCCCATTTCTTGAATGCTCTCGGTTTCACTTGGATGCAAAAATGGTTTCCAAATCTTGGTCCAAACCTGTAGGTTTCAACTTGAAATCGGCCGGTGAAGTTTGAGACGAGCTCCCACTCCGCTTGCCACTCCAGAATCCGCTCTTTGTGGCACCACTGGTTGAAGGATCGTTTGGAGCTCTGCTTCCAGCTCCACTTCCATCTCTACTAAAACTCGCTTTTGCCATTTCTCGTAGCTGTTTCAGCCAAGGTTTATCTGTTGTACCTGAGCTCCTACTTCCTGAGCTCCTACGCTTGTCGCCAGACGAAGTTGTATCGCCCGGTTCACCATCCACACGTTGATCCATCAAGAACCGGCTCTCTAAGGTTTTGATCAAGTTTTGTGAGATGAAAAGCACGAGGAATCCAATCACGGTGTTTCTCAGACCCAACAACAACGACTCCTCAGAAGGATCCAGCCGCTTTGTCTGTCTGTATAATGCATACCATTCGTTGGTCATTTGAGCCAAAAAAGTGACTAAGAATAGTGAAAGCATGAAGATCCCGATTTTTGTCTCGTCCCGGGTTGAAAATTCCATCTCTAAGAGAACAAAACAAATAGCGAAAATTCCGACTTCACTGCAAACCGAGATGATCTCCACCATCTGAACCTTTTTCTTAATAAACGGCTTCTTAAGGACAAGGAAAAACAGCTGAAATGAGGCAACACATAGTAAGGCAACTGTTGGAGTTTTAAAAGTCCAGCGCTCCGAATAGGCACCAGCAATGATTCCAAGACAAACCCGCTTTACGGATTCAAGCAACGTGTAGTATATTCTGAGAATACCGAACACCTTTTGAATAAAAGGTGCTTCTGCATCCTCGTTTTCATCATCGGAAGGGATGATTTGACTGCCCCGCTTGCGGGGATTTCCCACGGAAATCTGAGAAAGCATGTATTTTGGGGGACCCCTTAGATCTTCGAATAGAGGACCTAACATGGTTAGATAAATAGAGTTAGGTTTGTTCTTCCATGTCCACTGGCCTCTTTTACCGGGACCTAGAGTCACCCGAACAATGTCTCGATACCAGTGAATTATCCGGCCCTCATGATGTATTTCCCTGTATTGAAGTAGCTTCCCAAATGAAATTCCAATGGAGAGGAACAAGAATAAGGCTAGCAGTAGGAACGATACAATACCCAATAGGAGAACGCCAACTACAACCTTGGAAGATTCTCCTCCTTGAATCATGAACAAGAAAGACAAATTATTAAAATTAGTGAAGTCACAGCTCAAAGTTAACCTAAATAATTTGAGATGAGCTCTGTTATGACAAAACAAACAAAAACAAGAAAGTTAAACAACACAATTACACAAGAACATGGACGTGGTTCGAGTTAACCTATGTCCACGGGCAGAGGATTTTGCTATCAAAAGAGAAGAAAATGCAAGATTCAAAGCCGTACATCTATAACAAGAGTTCTATCTCCTCACATAACCTTAATTCTCAAAACAACCCATAATATATACTAAGATCCGAAAACGACTGGGTCAGATGTGTGGCCCGTCAATGTCTGACTGTATCAGTGATTAGTGGAGTGCAGTAAATAATGTTCCTTACATACAGATATGTACTTGCTAAGGTTGACCAGTGCAGTTGTAGGATAACACAAATATCACTCCTATATGGGATTTGATTTAAGGTAATGAGAACAGTATGTGTTGCTCATCCGATATATTAACATGGCAATCGTAGCAACTGAACTGATATTAATTTTCACATTAAAACATCATTTTAGAACACGAATTTAAAGAATAATAGCTCAGCCCAGAAAAAGTCAGCAGAAAAAATAAATTGTACTGAAGTGCATATAGTTATGATTTACCTCACAAAATTCAGGTCAAGGAAGGTGCGTCCTAACAAATTATTAAATAAATTGAAGAAAAAATTCCAGATATTTGCTGTCGACGTAACAGATTTGGTAAACGAGAAACCATTCTAAATTGCTATTCTTAATAGAAGTAAAAGATATATGCAAGATTAGACAGGTTGAACTCAAGTCTAAAAATGGCATATGTCTAATTGAAATGATATGCCTGACATAATGACAAGTCCTATACATGAAGAGCTTTGCTTCCCGGTCTAATGCATATATTATGTAGAAATTATTTATTCCAGTTACCTTTGATTAGAGCTGTCGAGGCTTCACAAATACAGGGTAGTGCAAGAATTATGAGAAATATTTCAAATCTTGGCAAAACGAGTGCTCCATAACTGCCCCTTTTTTCTGAGTTTTTTTGCTTCAATTTTAAGATCAACAGGAGCAAACCGTGCAATAGCATCAAGCTGCCACTAATTGCAGCTAACCAAAACATGCTTCGATTGAAATCCCTCCACCTAAAAAGAAAAAATTAGTCATTTTAGATATAAAAAAAATGTCTTTCTTACCAAAATATGTCTTTCATTTTGGTAAATCAATGAGTTTGCACATGTTCTTTGTTTTATAAATAAATAATAAAAATTTGAGATTTTAAATTTATTGTATTCTCAGTTTTGATCGGCACATAATGCAGCACGGTTGACAAATGATTTTAATTTGTTTATACCCCCAAAGGGTGGTGAATTCATTGAACAAATAAGCTGTAACAATTTATGTATTATTGATTGTTGTATTTTGATGTATTGATGTTGTACATTACAATTTCTATATATAGAGGAGAAGATGGTAGTGGAGTGTGTGATAGTGGAGGTGGTAGGTGTGGAGTGTGTGATAGTGAATTCTAACAGCCCCCCGCAAACTCAAGGAGGATAGAAACTAACCAACTTGAGTTTGAAGAGAGGAACAAAACAAGAAAATACATAAAAATAAAAAAGATAGGAGACACTGTATGGTCGTGTCAGACCGTTGGTGAAGACACTGAAAGGTGGTGCCATAACGTTGTAGAGGACACTGGATGGCGGTGTCATAACGGTGTAGAGGACACTGGATGGCGGTGTCATAACGGTGTAGAGGACACTGGATGGCGGTGTCATAACGATGTAGAAGACAGTTTATGGGGTCATGTCGGACCGTTGTAGAAGACAGTTTATGGGGTCATGTCGGACCGTTGTAGAAGACAGTTTATGGGGTCATGTCGGACCGTTGTAGAAGACAGTTTATGGGGTCATGTCGGACCGTTGTAGAAGACAGTTTATGGGGTCATGTCGGACCGTTGTAGAAGACAGTTTATGGGGTCATGTCGGACCGTTGTAGAAGACAGTTTATGGGGTCATGTCGGACCGTTGTAGAAGACAGTTTATGGGGTCATGTCGGACCGTTGTAGAAGACAGTTTATGGGGTCATGTCGGACCGTTGTAGAAGACAGTTTATGGGGTCATGTCGGACCGTTGTAGAAGACAGTTTATGGGGTCATGTCGGACCGTTGTAGAAGACAGTTTATGGGGTCATGTCGGACCGTTGTAGAAGACAGTTTATGGGGTCATGTCGGACCGTTGTAGAAGACAGTTTATGGGGTCATGTCGGACCGTTGTAGAAGACAGTTTATGGGGTCATGTCGGACCGTTGTAGAAGACAGTTTATGGGGTCATGTCGGACCGTTGTAGAAGACAGTTTATGGGGTCATGTCGGACCGTTGTAGAAGACAGTTTATGGGGTCATGTCGGACCGTTGTAGAAGACAGTTTATGGGGTCATGTCGGACCGTTGTAGAAGACAGTTTATGGGGTCATGTCGGACCGTTGTAGAAGACAGTTTATGGGGTCATGTCGGACCGTTGTAGAAGACAGTTTATGGGGTCATGTCGGACCGTTGTAGAAGACAGTTTATGGGGTCATGTCGGACCGTTGTAGAAGACAGTTTATGGGGTCATGTCGGACCGTTGTAGAAGACAGTTTATGGGGTCATGTCGGACCGTTGTAGAAGACAGTTTATGGGGTCATGTCGGACCGTTGTAGAAGACAGTTTATGGGGTCATGTCGGACCGTTGTAGAAGACAGTTTATGGGGTCATGTCGGACCGTTGTAGAAGACAGTTTATGGGGTCATGTCGGACCGTTGTAGAAGACAGTTTATGGGGTCATGTCGGACCGTTGTAGAAGACAGTTTATGGGGTCATGTCGGACCGTTGTAGAAGACAGTTTATGGGGTCATGTCGGACCGTTGTAGAAGACAGTTTATGGGGTCATGTCGGACCGTTGTAGAAGACAGTTTATTTTCTTTTTTTTTTTTTGTTTTTTGTGCAAAGAAATAACAAGGGAAAAAAAGATGAAAAATAAAGAGAAAGAGAAATAAAAAAGAAGAAAGAATTAGAAGAGATGTGAAATCAAAACGAGAGAGTGAGGGAAAAAAGAGAGGGATTCACGTGGGTGCTTGGCCCACAGTGTTGTGAAAATAAATAAATAAAATAAAAGAAAGAAAGAAAGTGGAGTGCAAAAGGGGGACACTGGCAGTGGAAAAACAGGAGGGTATTGATTAAAGGTACCAGTCGGTGGCTCACATGCCGTGTGTAATGGGTGGGTGTATTGAGTGGTGTCTGCCATGTGCATGAAAAGAGATATAGATATATAATATAGATATAATAAAGAAAGTGGAAGCACATGGTGTCAAAAAAAAAGAGAGCTATACGAAGAAGGTGGTGCCACCTGCTACTGGTACAGGCCTTCAACAACATGGGATGCTCTTCAGAGGCGATTGAAAATATTTATAGATTATGAAGTGAGAGAGGGTGAAATCCGCAAGCTCGTGGTCGATACCACCTCCCATGTTAAGAAGAAGGTTTCTCATGCCGTGTCTCGTCTTTCTCTCTGCAAACTGAGATGGAGGTTCCAGTTGATGGAGAAGGGGATTCAGAAGCTTGATTTCAAGGCTGGTGGAATGGCCAAGCGCATTGACCCGGGCACTGAGTCTCCGAGTTGCCGACCCAGATGTAGGCAAACTTGTAATTCCTTCCCTTAATCTGGCTAGTTTTGGAAGATCCGTGAGTCCCACACCGACTCATACAGAACCCATCTACGGTGACATCGGAGGCAGTCAACTCAACGTTGACGGCGTGGATTTCATCGGCCGTGGATGCCAGCTGTTTGATCTGTTTCTCAGTGAGCGACTTTCCGAGCGAGTAGTGAAATGACGAAATCGGAGATAATGGCTCGTTGGGTGGGATTGAACCAAATGAGGTTAATTGAGATTTTGCCAGAGAGAAGAGGACCATGGTGGTATTGAAGGAGATTCGTCTGATCTTGAACCAACTCAGTGAGTTTTTCTTGCTGCGAAAGAGATATGGAAGAGAGAGACAACAAAGAAAAGTTGTAGAATTAAACGGGATGATACAAGAGAAGCCATTTTCTGACCTTGAACAGAAAATGATTTTAGAGTTGGGGAGAGAGAATTAGAAAATTTGGGTTTGTCCGGCGGACGGCCAAGGTGAGGCTGCCGCCCGCCGGTGAAGCGGAATCACTAAGTTCTTAACCTTGCTCTGATACCATGTAACAATTTATGTATTATTGATTGTTGTATTTTGATGTATTGATGTTGTACATTACAATTTCTATATATAGAGGAGAAGATGGTAGTGGAGTGTGTGATAGTGGAGGTGGATGGTAGTGGAGTGTGTGATAGTGGAGGTGGTAGGTGTGGAGTGTGTGATAGTGAATTCTAACATAAGCATTAGAGATTGTAAATGTGCTGGATTTCATGTTGTGCATTTTCTCATATAGTTTTATCATTTCTTTATGCCGTCATATGGATACAGCAGATGAAGAAGGGTTAATTACATCAAGACCCCTTAACTATTGGTAAATATCACATTACTCCCTCATGTATGAATCCATACATTTTAACCCCCTCAACTATAAATCCGTACATATACACCCTTTTGGAGGAGGCAAGAATGGGTGTAAGTGATGCATTTTTATGGTTAAGGAGGTCAAAATGTACAGGTTCAGAGATGAGGGGGGAAAGATGATATTCACTAAAAGTTGAAGTGATCTTAGTGTAATTAACCCGACAAATAATCACTAAATGCACATAGGGATGAAATATTCCAATAACTTACCCATTTGACTTCTGGGGGAAAGATGATGTTCACTAAAAGTTGAAGTGATCTTAGTGTAATTAACCCGACAAATACTCACTAAATGCACATAGGGATGAAATATTCCAATAACTTACCCATTTGAATTATGTGAATCCAAAATATGATCAGCCTCCGGTCTAATATTTTGGATCTGCCATAGACCCATTCTATCAGGAAAATACTAACAGTATCCAAAGCAAGTTTCATGAAAACTAAGGGGCTTTTTTTTTTTTTTACCTCAAAAAATGATCGGTATTCCATTGGAGTAAGCGGCAACCCATAAACTGAGGCAGCCATATGTGAATTCCATTCTCGCGGTCGCACATTCTCATAAATTTTGGAACTGTATGAATTTGGATTCATCGGAGGATTTGAGCCAACCATGACCTGCTGTGTCTGATTGAATGTGGCCAGTTTCCCATGGGAGACTGAAGTAGGGGATACTCCATTGTAAACCTCTCGCAAATTCAAAATATTCAACTGGCAACGTGACTGCTAACCATCTAGACAGTGCAAAGACCTGAATGTGGCATGCAATTCTCTGTATCAACACAAAACAGTGTTAGAAATAGATACACTTAACCAGGATCAGTGAGACATGAAACACAAATAGGAATAAAAATGAGAATCTAATCAAGCACACAAGAACACATTTATGTTGTTCACTCCAAACTACAACTAGATCCACATTTGTTGCGACTTTCACTGTGATAAAAAAGGCTACAAGAGATACAGAGATAGTCGCCCTCCTTAACTATATATACATAAAAATTAGGAAAAATTCTATTCATACATAAAATTCATTCAAAAAACTCCACAAAAATAATGTGGCAATGCCATTATTGTAAATAAATGCATATTCAATGGTGTTGTGTTTTGAAATAAATGGTCCATAATGAGCCACATCATTATGTATAAAAATTATGTATGAATTTTTTGTTTGTACAGCATCACTCAAAAATTAGGGCAACTAGTCAAAAGTGAGAAAATACCAAAAATATCCTTATACCAAATGGTTAAGTGATTAGTGTCTAGTACTTATCGGGATCCACACCACCCCAACAAACTAAAGATGATGAACATGAGACAGCTAAGTAGTTTTAAGTATTTATCATTTGAAATCTTCTTAATCAATAGTCCTTCCATGGCAGTTGTGCAGACCACCCCACTGCCGTAGCACACACCAAGATATTGTCTACTTTGTACCATGGGGGCACGCACAGTTTTGTTCTTCCTTCACTAGAAAAGGTCTCTTGAAGGTTTGTGGGTATGCCACACTTATAAGGTCGGTCAAGAATTCCTAGTGAACCGATGTGGGATGGATTCAGACCCCCCATTTCAAAGGTAGGGGTAAATATTTACATGTTATCATCTATGTTGCAAAGGAGTCTAAACCACCAATATACAATGTATTATTGAGTATTTTTAATTATATGTTAAAAATTATTTCTAGAAATCCTCAAAGTTGTCGTTTAGCATATCTGACAATTTTGTGACAACAGGCAACATTGTAATGAGAGATGGGTAGAATCTTAATCTAAGAAATACGAAAATTCTGGGTGCTAGAGTTAATACAAGACACCTCACAACATTTTTCTCCCTTAATCTTTCATATTTTATTTATCATTTTGACCAATTACCACCACTAACACCTTCCAACTTAATAGGTCCTCTGAATCCACTCACAGAAGTTCATAATATAACAAAACAGTTCAATTATATAGTAAATGTTTAAAAGGGATAAGTAGTTTACAAAAAGGTTCCTTGCAGGATCAGATGTCAAACCCGGAGATGGTCTTGAAAATACCCCAATTGATTGAAGGCTCGCAGTCGAAAGAGTGAGCAGCCCCGCAACTAAAGCTGTCACCGCGAAAGAAGCAGTTGCGAAGGTGGAAACCACCAAAGATATTACAGGTACAGAATCTGCAAAATTGTTAGTTAAAAGAATCAGAATATCACTAATTAATCAAAAGAAAAATATAATTCTAAACTATTTAGCCAGCCTACAATGAATACTTACAGTGCTTGACTTGTAGAATGTTAGATGCCATATTTTCATTCCCAGCAACATCCCTTGTTACGTTTTCAGGAATGCTGACAGATATGGTTTGATTATCTGCCTCTGCCTCTATAACATAAATGCTCGTACTAACTTCACGAAAGCTGGATTCACTTACAAGAAAAATATTAATATACAGTCTATCCTCCTGAAATTGGTTGCACATTGTGACAAATTTTTGATGATTTTTTCATATAAATATGCCTCTTTGTAATGCAGTAATTATACAGATGATACTCATATATTATAGGGTAAATTACACTAACCTCTCCTGAAGTTTGGATAACCACTCTCAGTATAATTTACCATTTGCTATATTTATAATATATATGCCAAAGGTTTATGTAGCAAATTATTTACCCCAGCAAATGGCCTCCACTGACGGATATATGTGAAGAGTTGAAGCTAAATACTGGCTTCGTGAACTTTATCAATACTGAAATACTATTTTCTCTTGTCCTTGTGCTAGATGTTGTACTCAAACTCACTGCAGGCCTCTGGGAATCTGAAGATTAAACCCAACGTACATCAGAAGGAAACAACCAAATCTCATATATGCCGAGCCCGAAGACAATGCTATGATAAATATAAAAATAAACCATATTTTATGTAAAACACACTTCTCATCGAATATTGTTCTTTGACATGGAAAAGAAGAGGACATTACACTTTATTTGTTTTGGTAGAAAACATTTTATTGTGGAAAACATTTTTCACACTATTTTTTGGGAAAAACTTTTTACTATGTTTGGTTGTGACCTTGAAAGTAATATGATAGTGGTAATGGTAGTAATGGTGTTGGTGTGGTGGTGGTGATTGTGGCGGTGGTATGTGGCAGCGCCAGAGGTGGTGGTAGTGGAGGTGGTAGTGGAAAACGTTTTCCACCCAAACAAGGCTTTTTTTTGTTGATGACTGGAAAAAAAATTTATGGACTTTAGTCTTCTGTCGTACCAAACACCAGACAATGTGAAAAATGTTTTCCAAAAAATATTCTCTGCCAAAACAAACAGAGCATTAAGTTTATTCTCCTGGAAATAATATGATATCTTTCATAAACTTCCTATCTAGATGTAAAACATACCATAAAGGAAGGTAACTGGAGCAACAGGAGAAACTGGGGTCCCCTGTCTGCTTATTATTAAGCTTGAATTAAGGCTAACTGTGACTATACACATGCTGGATATATCTTCCACCACCTGAGAAGTGATAATAAAAATAAGACTATTGTACATAAAATAAAGGAAAAATAAATTTTTGTAGAGAAATTAGAATATGAAATTCAAAGCTTTTAGCCAACTGACCATAAAGCCAAATCTGCGATTTCTGAGGCTATTTCCAGTAATAGGAAGAAGCGAGCCCTGACTTGTGTTGAGAGAATTCAACATTTCAGTTGATGAATTGAGAACAGATTCTGTGAAGTACAGATAAACCTTCAGGTTTTCATAGTTATTCGTTGCTTGTACAGTTCTCATTTCACTGTTAAGTTGAAGTAGCTTTTCAGGTACATGAGTCCTCAGGTTGACAAAGACGCTTCGTCTATCTGTAGAATTCGACCACCAAAACTTCAAAGTAAATTAGATACTCAGATAGAAAATTGAAACAAAAGTAGTCATATTTCTGACCAAAAAGATCATATTCTTTCTTTTGCTCTCTTTTGTTTTTGGTAAAAGTAAAATACAAATAACTGACAATAATGCCTAATTGAATATTGGACTCACCAAAATGTAGCAAAAAACTCGAATTTGATGTTCTTGTAAATTTATTTCCAGCACTATCTGTACAGAAATTTTTGTCCATGACCAAAATCACACGTCCATGATCAACACTTGAAGACAAACTCACAACAAGAGAAAATTTGAGGTTGGGCTCAAGAATGTTGAATGTAGATGGTACAACTTGGCCAGCACCATAGACAAGAAGCTGTATTAAGACGCACATTTATCCATTAGAATTCAATTCAATATACTATCACATTGGTAGTGCTGCTAGACTAAACATTGAGGAAAGCTTACAAAAGGGTAAAATCATGACTAAAACCACTGATTAGAGAGAATTATCAGAAATGCATAAATTATGAAAGAATAATTTGAGAGAGTGATAGAGGATTGAGAGAGAAAGAAAGAGCTACTGAAATATTCTGTTGTTGTATTAATTTACAAGATGATTTACACTCTCTTTTATAGAGAGGGAAAGCTACATAGGGTGCCTTAATAGCACCGAAAGAAGAAACACAAATGGGGAACATCATTATGACTAACACTACCATCATTATGACTAACACTAGAATACAAATGGGGAACATCATTATGACTAACACTAACATCATTATGACTAACACTAGAATATACAATAATAAACTAACAATGGAATATACAACAATAATAAACTAACATCCCCCCGCAAACTCAAGGAGGGAAAGCATCAACCAAGTTGAGTTTGGAAACAAGATCATGGAAGCGGCCAGGAGGATGAGCTTTAGTGAAGATATCAGCGGGTTGATCGACTGAGGCAATAGG